GACTATGAGGTATAATGATTGTGATGTTTTAAAATATACTGATACTTGTTTTCTTCCAGGTACTAGATCACTAACGAGGATCTTACCCCAGATTTATGCGGAGGAACCTAAATCACTCAATGACCATGTGACTGTATTGATAGATCTGCTACCAGTGTGTGATAGTACAGAAACTAACAATGTATTACAATTGATTGGTTTGGTTGCGAAACAAGATGCAAAGGTACAAACAAAATGATCTAACATGATCTATGATGTTGACATTTTTCTGCACTTTTTTTTCTTACATTTAACAATATTTCTGGAAATTAACCCTAATTTTGGAGCCAACAGACAAAATTTGGGTAAATTTTCGGTTTTTAATTGGCTATTTTTGTCCCAATCTTCTGCTGGAAAGTGTAGACTATAAATTAATTTTGCGCTGTTTTTGCAGAAGGAACGATTCAGTGAAAATAAAATCCAGCGAATATACCTCTTTTCCTATATTTTACATTCAACTCGTTAAGAATTAGTGAAAATAAATTCCATACAAAACGCCCAAAAAGTCGTTTCAGCGAAATTTATTTCCAGCTAAAATAAAATGTTTTACAGTATTTTGTGAAATTGTGATGTAAAGTTATCATTACGTCTGCTAAAATAGATAAATATAGAAATTAATGCATATATGTTTGCTACTTGTAAGATACTTTACTTCCCCTGTGTGAGTGTCACCAATAATCACAACACATCTTTACGAAAGCTGTCTGCCCTTACTAATCAACCCTTGATTATGAATTGTAGTAACCATCCCATTCTCTGTCGTTCTAGTTACTTGAGCCTCATGTCAGTACATTAGCTGAACATCTTAAAATCACGGCCACAGCCCAGGCAGTGTTGATATCACTGATAGATATGGCGTCAACCAACGCAGCACCGTTAGCCACGTGTTTACCGGCACTCAAAGACGCTGTCAGAATTCAGTCAACATTGATGAGTCTGGCTGCTAAACTATTTGGTGCTGTTGGAAGATTGAATCAGGTAATAATTTATAAGGCTGTTTCTCATTGGTTTGTATCAACTCTAAATCAGTCTGTTATCCAATAAAGGAGTACTTTGTTATTTCACACATTCACCAAAATATAACAAACAATTTTAACAATACAATACTTTAAAATTAGCTGAAGACCCAAAACTTTTTGTTCTGAGTCTTAATTTCACTTGACTCAATAGAGTGGAGCTGTTCATATTACTGATAGTCCATTATTACTGTCATTAATACTGTTTCAATTTCTGATGGATGCCAATTTCAATCCAACACACATGATGTTTTATTTTATAATTTGTTTCAAAATGTCCACCTGACGGCCATGTTGATTTTAATTGTTATGTGACCGTAGCCATTTTTCAAAATCGTTAGAAAGAAAGGACAGAATGATGTGTTCTCAAGTGGTGATACAACTGAATTCAAACAGGGACTATGTCATTAATGATATGATTTGTTATTATAGGCTTATGGCAAAGAATGCATAGCGTTTCTAGTATCGCAACTACCCTATGTGGACCGTACTACACTAGCGGCTGTACTGATTGAGATTAAGAGTATCGGTGATCAGTATCCGGGATTGTTAGGAGAACACCAGACTGCCATCAGTAAACAAGGGGAGAGTTTATCAACAGCTGCCAGAATGATTGTACAACAACTCAGAGAAGATATTGCTAAATGGTAAATAAGAAAGTGTTTCAATAATAAACTTTTACACAAAATACTGGTATTTAAGTCTTCATGCATCATATGCTCTTGCATTGTTTGAGACACAAAGCGTCTTGGACAATAACTTTGCTATAAAATACACTCAGACTTAAATTACAATATTTTGTGAATAACCCTGTGCAACAGCATATAATTATTATATGATAAAATTGACATGACACTATTTTCTGATTGTTTTCAGTGATGATACAGCGGTTGTCATGGTAGAATCATTAACAGCCAGTACATGTGAAGCAACTTCACAAACAGACAGCGCTGATCACAATGACCAAGACGCAAAATCTGAAACTTTGTCAGTAGAAAAAGACGTCATAAAAAAGGCGGAGTCTACTACTAGTGTTAAACATAGTCATGAACATTTAAATGACAGTTTGTCTGAAAAGCAGACATCATTAACAGGTGCTACTACAACGACGCAGACAACGACCACGATGACAACTACCACTACCGCCACCAGCAGCAGTTCAGTTTCAGGATTGACAGTTGAACAAACTAATAACAACACCAGTAACACTAAACTCACTGAAAGCAAAGATGATTCAGCGACAAAAGGAAGCTCACAGACTGATACCATTTCTAATATTGTGGAAAGACCACCAAGTGCTAACAGTCGGTCACCTAGCAACAGTAGCCAGGCAACCAGTGCTGTGGTGAGAAAGTATAGCACAGAGGACAAAAGGGAGTCCAGATCCAATTTAAAAATAGATGGACTACAAGGCAGTGGAAAAAATAAACATAGAGACAGTGGTATACAACAGTACTTAGCCCATCGACACAAAGAAATTACATCTTATATGGATTCTGTTCGACCAAGGATACCCGTTCCTCAAGAATGCCTCGTTGAAGGTAGGATTGTCTTTTGCATCAAGTAAAAAAAAAAAGCATGGGGAATCTGAAGTTAACATGTAATGTGAAAATGTGTGCTGATATTAGCATGTATGAAAATCTGATTGGTTCCATCTGTGTATAGTACTGTTTAATTTGTAAATTAAATTTGATGATAACCAACCAACCACATTTTTAATTTATAATATTGACCACCACTTGATTGGACAGTTTAGGTCACATGATTGGACAGATTAGGTCACATGATTGGACAGTTTAGGTCACATGATTTTGCATTACAGCTGAAAGTAATGTATATTTTCATGTAAATCCTGTGTTAAAACATAGCAAGTTTTTAGAGCAGAGAACAGAATATTCAATACATCTTTCTGTTCACCACACACATCAGGAAATAAAACATGAATATCACTGTTTTTTTATTTTCCAGTTTTCATGAAAAATTCTGAATTTAGTCACAATTTCAGAATGATCGATGCACAACAACTGTTTTGCTTAATATGCAGTTGTATAAGCATGCACATTCACTTATTAGAGAAAAAATATGAAATCTCTTAATTAGTTGCTGATTATGTTTCTCATATTCTGTAATTGACAGAATGCGTATGACATTTTGAGATGTTTACAATGACAACAGTTCATCTTGTGAAGTAGACTATGCTTGGGATAGAATCTATTGTAGTAGAATTTTAGAAAGTTTTAATGAAGTCAGAAAACTTTTGTTTGCAGATGTAAGATATTGCATCTCATTCTGATCTAATATATGGCTGTCTGATGGCCATATTTATTATTATTCATGATGTCTGAAACCATAGTTATTAGGTACAAATGTTTGCTTAGGCCGGAGATATAGTGGTTACCTGCATCAATCAGTTTGTTCATACATTCGTATGATGTCATATCTGGAGCACTATTGCTGATAGACTCATTCACACAGTGCCATATTGAAGACATTGCTCACTAGATCTGATCAACATATTTAATAACCATATATGGTCATGTAACGGCATTAAAAATGCATAATTAACATATCTGGAACACTATATTGCAGATAGTAATGTTAAATCAGTTCTTGTAATAAAGATGTTGGTAGATCTGTAAATTCTGATGGCTTTCTTGTTTGTTGTTTATATTTTTGTGAAAATTTTGATCAGGATTTAGAAACAATGGGTAATTATGTCCATTATGTCTACGGCTAACATAACTTTTTATAACAAAAAATATTGCTCCAAAATTCTGGTATTTAAAAAGTTACATCATAGTCATGTATTGTCAATTTACTTGTATATAACTAATTTTAGGACATGGTTATTTACAATTGCTTGTTCTCAATCTCAATTTCAGAAGGTATTCTTCCAGGACATTCGGCAGATTAGATTTTACTGCGGCAAGAAAGGACTCACTGCCTTTTC